GGTTAAACCTGATGTAATAAAATCATCAAGTGCCACATGATGACGATGATGGATATTTTACACTTACTGGTCTTTTACAGTTAGAAACAGAGCCCGTTTATGTGCTTTTTTTGGGTGTGAACAGGGTACAGATCACTCAGACTACGTTTAGAGGTGGTCAGGGACGCATAGGACAACATAACATTTGTAGAATGAATGTGCATCATCTGGGCAGAGACGATAGGACCGGATAGCTTATTTTTCCATCTCCTCTCCCATTTTTTTTTTTACAGGTTATGTTAGCAATCCACAACACATGCATGTGATTCCTCATGTCATAAAATCTAAACACATGTGGTCAAAGGTGTAAACAACTATACATCTCATTGTCCACTTAAGATCAAATTACTCGAGACGCATGTTAATACCAAGTGTGAACAGAGCCATAGTGTTTTTACATTTTTTAATTAAGTCTTTTTTTTTTTTGGTCAGTGAAGTATTTTAGAATCTTTAAAAGACATCTGATTTGTTATTGTTCAATTAAATACATGCCTGACCTTTTTCAAAAACTCTGATTAATTGAAGACTCATCAGAATTATTGGCAGATTATGACATTAGAAAATACAATCAATATTGACAGCCCTGAAATAAGTATGACATCCATTGATGCCAGCGGCATCCTCGCCGTCCATCATTAAGGAAAAAAGACTGAAGTTAATTTGTCAAGAGACATACACTGATGCACACGTTTTCTCATCTAGTTATTGATGTGAACCTGTAGGATGGTTGCTCATGGCTGGGGCTGACATCAATACTGCAACACTAGAGAGTCACATTTCGCTGCTGTCGGGACAAAACCTCGTATCTCCATTTCTGTCGCTTTTCAGTTTTTGATGTAATTTGAAAATGCCTGTTGCCCTTTACATTGTGTGTAAATTTAATGCTGAATGGACGAAACGAAGTGGCCAAAAATGACGTGGAAAAAGTCTGGTTCCATTTACTTGCATTAAAAGCAAAGAAGGTTTTTTCCTTCTCCTGTGAAGTTATCATTTTGGAGAGGTTTTGTTCAGAGAACAGTGATTTACTCGTGAGGTGATCAAAGCAGCAAATTTAGACACATGAAATGACATCTAGTGGGTGAGCTTTTGAAAGTGAATTAGTAACAGTCAAGCTATAACAGTGGATCTGAAAAGAACATAGTACACTTCTTATGAAGGTTTTCATATAGCTGTTAGGTCTACACATTTTGCAGTGAGACTAGGTTGCATGTTCAGTGCTGGTGTAATTTTAAAGTGTGCGATTATAGATATGTAAATGTTTTGCAGCAGATGTTCAGAGTTCTGCAGATGCAGTCATCATCACTGAATGTCGCTTGGAGCCATTCGCACAGAAGCCACTCTGGGTGCTCTTCTTTAATATTCATTCATTTGGAAGGCACCAACAGTTCACTGTGCAGCTTTAAGTTGTCTTGTTTCATTGATTGCTCTATGCCACATTTGGTGAATTCTACCATCATGTTTTTAATGGTATGTTCATCTGTCTGTCTGTCTGATGCTGTCTCTCTTATTCTCTATTTCTGTTTCTAATCTGTCTACGAGATCTGCAGTTGATCTCTCGTTTTTGGCTGAATATGTAGCATTTATTTATCTGCTATAAAGAGAACTGCTCTACCTGCCTTTGATGAGTTTTAGCAACAGTAGCCTACTGCCGGGCATGAATCCAGCTTCCAACTTTATAATCCCCCATCCACCTTCAACACCTGGCAACCTACAGTGCTGTTCTGCAGCGTAAGCCCATAGAAGTCCAGTATAGAAGGATATAAGTTGATTGATCAGGTTTTTCTGCAGGAAACCTTGTGGAATGGCTTTGCTTTCATACATAAAACGTAAACAAATATAGACCTTCTCTGTTCTGTATTTCTCACAGCAAACTGACGTTATGCTATCTCTAGTAATATACATACATCATCTAAACCGCTTATCCTTCTGGGTTGCGGTGGGGTGCTGGAGCCTATCCCAGCTGTCATTGGGCGGAAGGCAGGATACACCCTGGACAGGTCGCCAGTCTATCGCAGGGCAGTATCTCTAGTAATATAGATCTGTAAATTAACTTTCTTGGTTACCGTTCTGTACTATTTGTTGTATGTGTTTTGCTTCATTGTGATGATGCTTTTAAAGTTTTGTGATCTATTATTGAGACACACTGAAGTCATTGTCAGATTATTTGCCTTTGTGGTGTAAATAATCCAATTCGGTGAGGCTTAGATGAGAGGTGATTTGTTTTCTTTAGTATTAATCTAATTTCTCTTGGTACATCCCTCACAGTGACCTTCAATAAATTTCTGAAAGTACAGTGTGGAACTCCATGGTGGTTTGAAGTATCCTCAGCCTAAGCTGGGAATCAGCTGTGACATCCTACCGTTTCACAGATCTTTGCTTGCCAACTCAGCTAGCATCATCACAGTGCCTGCAGAAGCACTAGGGACCAGAGGATTTGCAGAAGCTCTAGCTGACAGAAACTATCCGTGACAAAGCTTGGTTTACCTTCAGATCTGCTGCGGCAAGTCTTCAATCCACAGCAAACCCCACCCTACTCACTGAAGGAAGCGCAAGTTTCTCGTTGCAAAGACATTACTAATCTGAATACGAGCGTTTTGATTATCAACAATGCAGTACTGATGACTTTCAAAGGACTAGCTGCCGCAGAGTCATCACATCCTGCAGTTATGCAGTTGTAAAATGAAGTGTGTCAAACTAAGGTCCTGGAGAGTCAAAGCACTGCAGAGTTAGTATTTACCCTTCTCTTAACACTTTCAAAGGCAACTCACAAGAGGCTTTGTAATTAGCTGATGAGTTGAATTAGGTGTAGTAATTCAGGGAAAGTGCTAAACTCTGCAGTGCTAAGGCCCCCCAGGATTGGAGTCTCACAGCAGATGGACATGATGAGTTAAATATAGAGTCTTTGGGGAGGAGAAGTGGTTTTCTTATAAGGATTAAGGGTGCTATAAGTACGGACAAACAGAGCATGTTAATTTTATTGAAGGGAAACTATGCAGTGGTTGGTTCTTTCCCTGCATTTCTGAAAAGGCTTGGATAGGTTAAAGGAGTACTCCACTGTTTTTCCACCTAATTTCCATCTGCCACATCTGTAATATGCAGTCGATTATCACAGACAGGAGCCCCATTTGCTTCTGTTTTGAGTGTTTCAAATAATCAAGTTTTCCATTTGTTTAGTAAGTACAGTGAAATGTCTTGAAATGACAGTGTTATGACCTGGTCTAGGGTTAGGCCATAACAGAAAATGAGAGTGGGCTCTTTCTCAGGTACTGGTGCCAAACCAAAATGGGATGATGGCTTCAGCGACAAGCATATGTCAAAATAACAGAACAGCAGTTTTGAAAACTAGCTAAACTTGAAAATAAAGTAGAACAAGAATACAACAAGCTATCCTAACAGGCTAAAACACAAAACTTAAAAACAGGAGAAAAGGTAAACAGACGGTGATCACCCCCTGTTTTTCATACTTTTCACAAAGTCTAATAAAGCTGTCACAAATTTATCAAAGCAAGTGAAGTGAAGAATGGATAGATGTAGTTCTTTGTCACGTGAGAAGGAAGAGAGCCCTGAACGTCTTCCAAGTAGTGGACTGGTGACCTCTTTCAGACAGGAGGGCGTCCTTGTGTGGCCAAACACAGATCTGCACATACTGCATCAGAAACACAAAAGATGAAACAAGCAACTATCACTCTTTTTTGTATCACTTTAAATCAGTTAAACAAATAAGGCACCTATAAAATTGATATTTTTTTATTTTTCAATTTATTTATATTAACTATGACTTTTCAGATGAGTATTTGCTTGTTTCTGTACCCTTTTGCATCCCTGCTACTCCCGCCATGTATATGCTTAGATGGGCTGATCCCAATACTAGATCAATACTGCACATCTTACCGCTATGAATGACTTTCATAAGAAGTAGTAGATAAGAATGATAAATGACTTCACAAATACTGCATTGAATAAGATGTATTTCTGTAAAAAGAAACTGCAAAGGGAAGAGTAAGGAAGAAGTCAATTTCTTCTCATTGGCATGCACATTTCTCACACACACACACACTCACTTACTCACGGACATGCATTGTTCTCATTATCTTTGACCTTTTCCAACCCTGCATTGTTTATCTTTGATTGGCATTGTGCTCTTGAGCGTCGCTAGCAGTGCCCAATGACTTATTCTCTTTCGGTACAGACACTGTTCACTGCTCTGGAACCTAAAATTCCTATTTTTGAGATGCTATGCGTGAGACATATTGCTGTGGTGCGTGTATTTTATACTGTTAAACCGATGGAGTGTCAGTAAGGCTGTCATTTTTAGTGATGACAACAGGCCTCTGTGCGATGTGCTTCGTGCAACAGACTAAAGGGTGTGGCACACAGTAGCACTGAACTGTGATTACATAGGTTTTACTTTAACTGGACTGATGTGGTTATTGGAACTTGAACTTGTTGAGGTGCCAGATATAATCATATGTATCTCTGTAGGCCTGTCACAGTTACCATCATATTATATAATATTAATAGATTAATTGTATGGAAGTTTCTCTTCAGCTAAAATTTAATGATCAGACATGTTCAGACGTGTTATATTTTGGGGACAGATATATTTATGATGTCACATTTATTGCACAGACCATAAATTTAGTAGTTTGGGGTAAGCAATATGACAACACATATCATGATAATTATATCACAGTACGCTTTTCTGTGTATATTGTATGTGTCATCAGTTCTTCTAGGACACCGAACAATTGCATTGTTAACTACAAAAAGCACATTACTGCCCAAAGTTAGGACGGTGTCTGTTTACATCAGCTCTTAGATTATAATGGGGTAAAATACCCTGACCAAAAGATTCAGATTTATTAATGCTTAATATAGGCTTGGATCTGCTCCAGTACTGATCATTCAGATTGGACTAGGACATTCCTATTAAATCTATCTGTCTTTCTCTTTTCCTATAGATGAGGACCATCTGGAGGAGCCAGGGCGTGCGCGTGTGAGGATGCGCGAACGTCTGGTGTGGGACTACCCTCTGCAGTTCTCCTGGCTGATGGAGGCCGAGCCCTTCACCTCCTCCTTGCAGGCAGGCGGCCCCGCGGCCGGCGCTGGCATGACGCTGGAGCAGAAGACCACCTTTGCCTTCGTCATTTTTCTCTTTGTCTTCCTCTGCATGCTGATCGTGCGCTGCTTCCGCATCCTGCTGGACCCCTACCGCAGCATGCCCACCTCCACCTGGGCCGACGGCCTGGACGGCCTCGAAAAGGGCCAGTTTGATTATACACTGGCATAGAGTCGGCAAACACTTGCACACACAATGCAGCTAGGTAAATGAACCACACAGACCCAGCTAGTTAGGAAGGAACACACATACGTTTGGTCGGGCACAAAACAACTTGACACAATATGAAGTAAAAATTTGGTGCATGATTATGAAAAGACAGGTTTGATTTGTAATAGCAAATGTTAAGTCACGCACACTCTGCTTCTGTCACGTACAGGGTGTCCTTATGAAAGGAGCAGTTGGGGATTCTGAGTGATCCCAGAAGCAGTCTGGACTGGCCTGTGGCCCCTCTGCGCCATGGTCCCACTCATACAGGGTAGCCCTATCACTGTCTCCCTCTAAACATTCACAGCATCTGTACCTGCACTGTTGTAAACTGCCAAGTAGACACCTAGAGAGGATAACTCCTGTTGAAGACCCTTTATAAGCACTTCATAAATACTTCATAGGTAAATGCTTTTGTCAGCCTTAAGGTATGCACTGTTACTATCAATGCAGCTTAGATTCATTAGAATGCTTGAAAATTAATTAGATGTATTTATGCAGTGCTTATGGCTACCTAAAGGGCCTTTTACTCAACGATGCCAAATTTGACACAGTTTAGGCAAGTCAGTAACTTGTGTGTAGTTGTCTGTGACATTAGACATTTGAATGGAAACTCAGCATAGAAGCAATGGATAGCACTTTTGGCTAGTTTCTCAGCCCAGCGTGAAACTCCAGCAAGTCCATGACGAATGGTGTCATATATGTGTTTGCTTACAAAAAAATCTGTCATTTTAAATGTGATCTCAGAGTGAACTTGTACAGTCAGCATATACTGCCTCATTAGCACAATAAACTGAATTTAGATCAGTTCCGTTTTAATACATGATCCGCTCTCTGGTCTTATTTATAAGATCAGAATTAATGGCTGTGGTTTGCTTGGTCAGCCTTTACATTTTAAGCAGTAGCCAGGGGAGATGTAACCCTAACAGCTAAACAGCGCTAATTTGCCTTGAGAAAATTCATTGCTAAGAGCAAAATATGAGGAAAGGCCACTTTTCAGCAGTGCCTCCTTAGTTATTCAGGTGGTAATAAAAAATGAAGTTGTGTGCAAAAATGTCCATCAGTAGCTGAGCTGCTCTGAAATAAATTGTTCTGCTCTATTAGTGCTTCTAGTCCCTCACCTGACCAATCTGCTTTGATTTTACTGCTTATGTCAAAACGATGATGAGGCTCCAGCCAAATGATGTTACTTTGCACTTCTATGTTGTCTTCTCACCACTGTGAATGAGCCAGTGAGACATTGAGAGCACTTAAGGAATGTCAGGTTGAACTGCCAGTGTTTCTGAAGATGACTGCCACTGTTTTGCATGTACAAGCAAATGCATATGAATGTGTGAGAGACAAAAAAAAATCTTAAGGCATACGCAAACTGGACTGATGCACTCAATGCAGATGTGTTCGATGCTGTTGAGCCTGTTGGTATTCTCTTAAGCTTTGTTCACTGTGAGGACCTGCTTTGCATCTCTGTGAATAGGCTTGTGTCTGATACAAAGCACTTAACAGTATTTGCCAGAACACTGTATGTTTCATCACCTTAGACAATATATAATTGAAAACATTTGATATGGAAGATCCCCAAATAAGTGAGAATCTTTAGACCTACATGCTGTTAAAACAAATACATTGTGTGAGCACAGTAGAAGAGAGGAATTCTAGCTTATATTATAGATTTTCAGTAGTGCAGCTACTGTATGAAACTGAATATCAATAAGTAATAAAAATGTATCAATAATATAAAAAAGACAAACGATAACTCTAAGTCTTTGTTCTACAGCCACACCTGCATTTGTCTCATAGAGAGTAAAAATAAATTCTTTCCAAATCAGTAACTGACCTTTTGTCTTCCTCTTTCTTTATGCTTGATGTGCTTTAAAGCTTGTCTTACTAAAGTCTCACATTTTCTGTTTTTAGATTATTCTATTTTTACTTTACCTTTCAAAATGTGTTTGCTGTCACCTAATTGAATGAGCATAGTGAAATGTTATTAGTTCATTCAATGTAATATCTGAGTAATTCAGTGAGGATCAATTACACTACCAGTCAAAAGTATAGTAGTAACACTTTTTGTCTCAGCCTCTGTAATTTGTTTTTTTTTTCTGCTTTTATATAGGATAGCCATATTTGTCTGTCTGCAAATAACAATAGTTTACAAATCTGCTACTCACTCACAATGTGCAAGTTTGTGTCAAATACAGAGAGTTCCTTTGATACATCCTGCCTCACTGCAGTTAGGATATTACAGTAAGTGGAGTATAAAGTAATTTACCGAGGTAGGGTTGTAAAGGACATTTTTCCCTTTTATTTTTCTTAAATTCAAAGCAAGAAACAGGAATCGCACTGATACTGACCCTATTAAACACATAACACTGTACTGTATGTGTGTGTGTTAATTTAAGAATGAAGGAAGCTGCAGATCATGTGGAATGAAGTCCCATACATATATAGTTAATAAAGATTATATTTAATAAAAATAAGTAATAAATAATAAAAATAAAGATATTTTACATTTTTATGTTAAAACATGCTGTTGCATGCGCCCCGACGACGGCCGCGAGAGCCTGAAGGAAGGCAGGACCCGGGGAGAGAGCCGCGAAGGGGTGGGGGACGGAGTGCAAAGCCCGAGCACCGCCGAGGGGCGCGAGTGACGGCGGGAGGAGGAGGACGACGGTGCTGGCCACAAGAGGCACGAGGGCAAGGAGCGAGTCCCGAGCTCCGCCGCCCGGGCCCCGCCCCCTGTTCTGCAGCTAGGGCGCTTCACTATACCTCACGTTCGACCCAGGCAGCCCAGCATCGAGCTCTAGTTCCCTCTCGGCTCAGGTGCTCAAGCTGCCCTTAATGAGAGCCAGCTGAGGCTGATCTGGCTGGCAGCGTGAGCGCCTTTTAAAAAGAGCAGAGAGGGAACGGAGAGGGAGAGAGGGAGCGAGAGCCCGGGGTCGGGCGCATGCCACATATGCCTTTAGATATTTATAGGATTGTGAAAAACATTCACTAAGGTGTGTCCAGACTTTTGACTGGTAGTGTACATACATTGACTCCAAAAAGTATTTACATTTTACATTTACATTTACAGCATTTAGCAGACGCTCTTATCCAGAGCGACTTACAAAAAGTGCTTTGTCTATCCAGAGAAAGTATCTTTACTAGTTACCAATAGGTTAGAGAGAAAGTCAGTCCTGAGCTCAGATACTGCTAGAATCAGAAAGTCATTGACACCTAGAGAAAAAAGAACAGAGTTAAACACAGAACAGTGCAATACAATACAATACAATACATAAGTGCAGTACAATACTTTACAATCAATACTTAATTCAGTGCTCATTTAAGTGCAGTATAAAGATATGTGTCTTCAGTCTGCGTTTGAAGACAGCGAGAGACTCTGCTGTACGGACAGCCAGTGGGAGTTCGGTCCACCACCTGGGTGCCAGCACAGAGAACAGTCTTGATGCTTGCCTTCCACGCACGTTGAAGGATGGTGGGTCAAGTAGAGCTGTACTCAAAGCTCGAAGGGCTCGTGGTACAGTTCGAGATTTCACCATTGCCATCAAGTAGGAAGGGGCTGGTCCATTTTTGGCTTTGTAAGCAAGCATAAGGGTTTTAAATCTGATGCGTGCAGCTACAGGAAGCCAGTGAAGGGAGCGCAGCAGTGGGTGACGTGGCTGAACTTGGGAGATTGAAGACGAGCCGTGCTGAAGCATTCTGGATGCATTGCAGAGGCTTGATGGCCTGCTTTGGAAGACCAGCCAAGAGCGAGTTGCAGTAGTCAAGACTTGAGATGACAAGAGACTGCACTAGCACCTGGGTGGCCTCTCGAGTGAGAAAGGGTCGGATCCTCCGGATGTTGTACAGGAGAAATCTGCATGACCGAGTTAGGTTTGCAATGTGAGTTGAGAACTATAACTGGCCATCCAGAACCACACCAAGACTTCTTGCCTCTACAGATGGGACAATCAGAGAGTTCTCGAATGAGATGGCAAGATCATGATGAGGACCTGTAGTTGCAGGGATGAACAGCAGCTCAGTCTTGCTAGGATTGAGCTTCAGGTGGTGAGCTGCCATCCATGAAGAGATGTCAGACAGACATGCCGAGATCCAACTGGAAACCTGTGTGTCAGAGGGTGAGAAAGAAAGCATTAGTTGAGTGTCATCAGCACAACAGTAATAAGAGAAGCCATGAGATGATATTACATTGCCAAGAGAGCTAGTGTAAAGAGAAGAGGACCTAGCACCGAGCCTGCATGGGACACCAGTGGAGAGCCTGCATGGAGAGGATGTGGACCCTCTCCATGTTACCTGGTATGAGCGATCTTCCAGATAGGACTTGAACCACTTCCACGCAAAGCCAGCTATTTAGCTATTTAACTTTAGGTTAAGCTTTAATTAAGTTTTTTAGGTTACTTTATTAAATTATATTTCTTTCAGAGAAACAAATACATTGACACAGCACAGGGGGCACCAAGGAGGCCACAGAAACATCTCATAAGTTGTATCATTGCTTGGTAAGTTTTCATTTTGTTAGTTTACTGTTCTTGACATATCAGTTTTACAGCACCCATTTAACAAGTTATCTGTAATGTCATAGGACAGGGCCATGTCTCTTGTACGTGCCGGTCAGCAAAAGATGCCGAGAAAGCCAGCAATGGTCTGTATTTGCTAAATGAAAGTTTTACCATGGTGTCAGTTAGCTTGTGTTCATTAATGGCATCATGAGCTCAGAACTGCACAGACCTGCAGAAGTTGGCAAAGAAATTCTTCAAACGATACCAATCTCAAACAAATCAGCCACATTTCGAAAGAATACTTCGCCAACAAGAAAAGCACAGTTTTGGAATGATCTGTTTAAAATAAACACCACATGGTTTGACCATTTGTTTTCTAACACAGTGTACGAAGTATGAAACAGAGCCAAATTCATTTGCTGCTCTTTTCTGATGATGGAACATTTATGGCGAACTGGTGACAAAAAGGTCTCAGATCAGCCTGAAAGGATGCCTTTTATTTGGTTCTATAGCATCGAAAAGAGAGAAAATCCATCTATTTCAACCACTCAGTTCAAAGCTGACCTGCACATCAATCTTACAGTCTGTTCTCTCACAAACATCAATTTTTTATAGAACAGTAACGTGTTCTAGAAAATGATATGAAATACAGATTGATCACCTAATCAACCATGATGCCATTTGCTGCCCTGAATCCATATCTGCAGCAATAGCTGTATTGACTTGTCTTATAGAGTGGACTCAATCTCAATGCACTCCCACAGCAGCCTGGAAAGCGTGTGTGTGAGAGAATTTTAAATTTGACATGCTCCCCAAACTCTCTGCATCGACTCTCACTTGGTTCTGATTAGAATTCTCTGCACACTGACTCTGTGAATGAAAAGATAATTTTGGGAATAAATGGAAAATGCCATCAAATGGGAACATTATCCTTAAGTTTTCTGTAGACGGGCAAAATAGTTTTATTTTTCTCTTTGCTGTCTTGAACTAAGATGTTACAGGTGTTTTTACAGGGATATTCACTACAAGTAACTGACTGCATCCAAGTGAAAATAAGAACTAAGAAAGCCTGTCTAAGATTTTAACAATGCATTGTAACATATAGTAAGGATTTAGATTCGGGGTGGAAGAAGAGCTCTACCATGGATCCGGTCAGGAAATGCAGTTTGGGACCAGAAGGTGGCAGCAGAATACAGTCTTACCTTTCCGTAAGGCCCCAACCAGGCATTGTTGCCATGTTATCAAGCCAACCAAGAATTAGGGGAATTCTATTGATTATTCAACATTTTTACATACTTAAATTAAGATGTGAACATCTTCATGGCTTGTATTTCTCTACAGTAGTGGTGACTGGAACTAGGGGTCATGATGTGCATAAGTATAGCCATTTATTCACTATCCAAAATGGCCAGTGAACTTACACATGTCCTCTGAGTTTATGTGCAATGTTGATAATGGTAAAACAAAAAAGTGGTAAATTAAAAAAGAAGTTTTCTTGGATTACTATTTTGCCTCACAACACCCTCCGTGTACATCTCTGCTATAAATGTACTTTAAAAATATGCGGTAGCACATCTTCGCAGTCCAAAGTTTACAGGAGAGGACGGTATTGTTTCTTATAATACATTCATTGTGAAATTTCCACACAGTATAAAGGGCGCTTGATGTGCTCGATAAAAATCAATCAAAATGGAGATGGACAGTAACAACAATCACAACCATTTCATGTAATAACTTTCTGTGAGGAAGCTTTTAAAAAACATTAAAAGCTTTAGATATCTGGTTCCTATCATGACCACTGTAAACAATTATGACTCTTTAGATGTGTACATACAAGATGTTACATTTTTACATGGTTATGCATATTGAAAGAGCTTTTGTTAGTCATAGTTCACCCCCTTACTGACTAATGCATAAAGGGGAATTCCACATCGCTGCATTATTCAGTAATTCAATCCTTGAGATTTAAGCAGTGTCATTCATAGTGGTTTGGAGTGAAATGTTTCAATGAAGAAAAACTTACAAACTTATTTATTATTTATAGAGGTGGTGACAAGACCCAGTGGGCAATGTCGTCAATGCAAATATAGCCATTTTATTCAATACTATTGTAAAACAGTACAATGTGTTCATGAGCATTTAGTGTAATAACTTGCTTTGGACGTCTGGTTCCCATCACCACCATTCAATTCTGACTCAGTTTCTTCAAAACAGTGCATTTCACACCAACCCACTTGAATTGAGTTTCTACAAGTCCACTATGATCTCATACTTACTTATAATGATTTTAGATTATTTCGACATACATGTTTTGGCTGTCAGAACAAAACT